TCTGTTAAAACAAACAAATGTCCTTTACAAGTCACTGAAATCCATTTTAACAATACACTCTGTTAAAACAAACAAATGTCCTTTACAAGTCACTGAAATCCATTTTAACAATACACTCTGTTAAAACAAACAAATGTCCTTTACAAGTCACTGAAATCCATTTTAACAATACACTCTGTTAAAACAAACAAATGTCCTTTACAAGTCACTGAAATCCATTTTAACAACCAGATACTTGCAAGTGTGACCTTTGGTCAGTTAAATGAAAGACCTGAATGTAAGTTATTAATACAAATTGTTCATTTCGATTTCTTTGAATTTTTCATAGCAGTGTAATGGAATCTTAAATTGCTTTGTAGAGTTCTCGCTATAAGAATTATTCTTATATAGATTATATTGTATAGATTATATAGATTATCAAGTTTGAAATAAACCAATTAAATTCACCTATGCAGTTAATCCTTTTAGTTAAAGAAATGACCAATAAGAATATTTATATACTACAAAGACTTTAAAACTAGCATGATTAGAAATGTCTTTGTACAGATTTCAATATTACAGTAAAAAGATTTATCTTTATGCACACAACAACTACTAAATATTTCACATCCACCTCTATAAATACAGTTTGAAAGGTACATAAAAATATTGTACTGTACAGTTTTCTTACAAATCACCATATAAATATCATAAAGTACAAATAAGATAATGTTTTTCAAAAGAATGAAAAAATTTAGTTGACTCAATTGACAACATTGTATGAATTCCTTGCTTCAATACAAAATAGCTCTACATAAGCTGTTTACGGCTTACTTTACTGTTTTTTAAGGCTATGAATTACACTGTTTTTAACATATTTTTTAGTTTTACAAAAAATCCACCTGCCTTGTTATTTGATCTTCTGACCACTATGTAAAAAAAATGAATCTCTTGTACAGATCTTTCTCCTGTTCATCACACATCTAACTAATCACTGTGAGAATCTACTAACTAAATATTTCAACTAGAATATCAAATCATTCCCTCTGTTGCATGCTAGATCCCTGTTAATCAGTTTCATTGTTCTCTTTTCTATTTTATAGATCTCTGTGTTAATATTTTATATAACTCATTCCAATGCTTATTAAATTCCTAATCTAATCATTTGTAATGTTCTTTCTATTGTTTACCAGAATTATGAACATAAATTCTTTCTATTACATATACTTGGTAGGCCTCTGAAATGTTTTTACAACTATGAAAAACTGTTATATGTTCTGCAGCAAGAGAAGACACATATAAGTGTTAAAATACTTGAAACTCGGTTTTATAGTGCTTTTCCTATTTATTTGTTGAATTTTGTGTAAAGATACTTGAGGGCTATCTGCACTAGTCATCTCTAATTCTGAAGTGGTAGACTAGAGAGAAAGCAGTTAGACAACATCACCCACTTCCAACTCTTTGAGCTACTTGTTTTCCAATGAACAGTGGGATCGATAATAACACCTTTAAAGAGTGATTATCACAGTCATATCATTTTTCTTATTCTGCACAATAACTGAAAATCTCTTATAATTCAGTACAAATGCCCTGTTCAATAACTTAACAAGCAGTATATTTCCCATCATTCTCTAAGTTATGTTGTAAATATAGTTAACATTATCATTATTATCATACTTATCCTCACTGAAAAAAAAACAGGCTACTCTGAAAGTTTAGAAAATAAAAGGAATCAAAACATTTTAAAAACAATACTGATTAGAAATGCAGAAGGTGTATTCATGTCTACCATGCCCCTGTACTTAAATGCCCATTTTTATTTATTAGTGAAACTCATAATACTCAAAAGTATTATCTTTGTTAGTCTCTGCAACAATCAAATGAAGGTGAACAAGATAGAAATTAAAAATAGAAACTAATACTGACAATGATCTCTATATAACAAGCACTTGTGTTTCTATTTCATGGGCAGTTGCAGTGAATTCAAATACACAACAAATGTTTTACACTTCTCTTCAGAGACTTTATTCAAATGTTTTGTTATCAGAACAAACTTTCAAATTATTTTCTTTAAATTTTAAGACTTGCTTGAACTTTACCAGAAAATTTAAGGTTCCTTATATTTATTTACTGTAAATTTAATTTCAATATTCACAACACATTAAAACATAACAAAGTACAATTACTCAATATGCATATTCAAAACACAAACACAAAAAAATTACTGTAATTTTTGCCCTTGTATTTCAGGAAAATTAATAAATAACACTGAAAAATTATCTGTAGCAATAATTTATAATTAACAGACATTATCATTTTTTGGATACTATGATGATTAACTTTCCTCCTACTCAGATGCACAACAATGTACTAGAGAAGAAACTCCGTCCAAATTTTTTCTTCAGCTTTTTTGCGAAATGCTCTAACCAGATCACATAACCGTGTTCTTGTAACACCAAAGTTAGCAGAGGCTTCTCGATATGACATGCCTTTGTCTACAACAGCATGAATGGCAAGAATCATTTGATGAGGAGTCCAGGTTCGATTGCTATAATCTCTTGAACAAGCAATTCCAACAAAATCATATATATCTGTAAACGAAAAAAAAAAAAAGTCAAAACTTGTACTTTAGTTCAAAGTATTAAATATATAAATTAACATATTATCATGAAATAAACTGATTCTAGTCATCACTGCTGCTCAAAAAAACATCAATAGTAGATATTGTATATAAAATTAAACATTATTTCTTCAAAGATGCATGACATAACTAATGTTAAAAGGCATACAACATAGCCTTTACAGAAAGGACTTTGTATCTATCCATAGCAAATAAATGGAAACAATGAACTAGACACAAAAATTTTCATAAGCTTCCGCAAAGATAGCAGAAAGAGTACACAGAAACAGCAGTGATCAATAATCATCCATGCCTGAAAAAGAATACAGCTTACCAAGATGAGCTTTCATGTTTTCCAAAGCAAAAATACTTTATGAACATGAATAACATGATTTTTTCAGCTAGAAACAAAACCAACAAATACAGGTAATTAGAAAAAAAAACAACTAAGCACAAGGAACTTGAAGAATCTTCATGGCATGTAATGAAAAAATGATAATGTAACATAGATTTTCTTCTTCTTCTTCTGATATAACAGTATTTAATATTCAATTGTACTCTGATATTACAGTATTTAATATTCAATTGTACTAAACGAGATACCGTTGATACATCAAAGCATCTGCCGTAAAATTGTATCTGCTTAATCTGATATTACAGTATTTAATATTCAATTGTACTAAATGAGATCCCGTTGATACATCAAAGCATCTGCCATAAAAATATATCTGCTTAATCTGATATTACAGTATTTAATATTCAATTGTACTAAATGAGATCCCGTTGATACATCAAAACATCTGCCATAAAAATGTATCTGCTTAAGTGAATCTCTGTTTCAATTGTTCACCATACAACAGCAATCAAATGTAAAAATAATGATTGGAAGAAAGATAATGAAGATCACTATACAGACCTACAGCACCACATTTTGCATTACTAATGTTCATCATAATAATAATCACTAGACTTGGGTACAGAAAAATCTCAACCACAGTCATCAACTCAATGTTATTGTTCTGACAGCTTTTTGGTTAACAACGTATAAACACATGTTCAAAGAAAATTTGCCGTACATATATATTTGTGTTGTGTCACTTTTTTTGTTTTCAAAATAGGTACTTGCAAATTGAATGTACCCTTTCTGTTATTTTAAGTCACAAACTAAGAAAATTCTGTTAATATGAACCCAATTATCAATCCTTTGTTACTTAAGTCATAATATTCAGTGATGTGCATGGGGGAGAGGGTTTGGATGGACTCAAACCCTTGCCTTTCTGCTCCTGTGCCCCAAACCTTCCCTAATTCTTAGTCATAAAAACTGTCCATAAAGACATCTTAATTGCTACACATTATTATTATGGAAAAATAAGTCTTAAAATAAATAGCATACAAAGATTTGAAGGTTAAAAAAAGAAATAATTATGATGTGCTATTAAGTGTCAATACACACGAATTCACACTTACAAATAATTATGATGTGCTATTAAGTGTCAATACACAAGAATTCACACTGAGAAATAATTATGATGTGCTATTAAGTGTCAATACACAAGAATTCACACTTAGAAATAATTATGATGTGCTATTAAGTGTCAATACACAAGAATTCACACTTAGAAATAATTATGATGTGCTATTAAGTGTCAATACACAAGAATTCACACTGAGATATAATTATGATGTGCTATTAAGTGTCAATACACAAGAATTCACACTTAGAAATAATTATGATGTGCTAGTAAGTGTCAATACACAAGAATTCACACTTTATTGAAGGTCTTTACAGTTAAAAAAGAAATAATTATGATGTGCTATTAAGTGTCAATAAACAAGAATTCACACTTAGAAATAATTATGATGTACTATTAAGTGTCAATACACAAGAATTCACACTTAGAAATAATTATGATGTACTATTAAGTGTCAATACACAAGAATTCACACTTAGAAATAATTATGATGTGCTATTAAGTGTCAATACACAAGAATTCACACTTTATTTTTAGATTTTAAAAGTGTTTATAAGACCAACTGAATGGGAATAAAACAGGATTTGTTTGCTTGTTATGGCTTTTTATCTTATAGTCTCCCCTAACCCTACTAAAAGTCTTGTCCTAAGGTGCTTGAAAGGTACCTTTTTTTTTTATAAACAAGTTCTACCTTTTAATGTCCTCTGTTGTTACATTCATTAGTTATTAAGTTAGAAACAAACAAGCACTTTAATACAACTCTTGAGAGGTATTATGTCTAGTGTCCTTGAGATACCATGCCTAATTATTATAAGAACATTATTCTTTTTCTATACGATCATCTAAATCTTATTACTATTTTTTCTTACACATTTGACATATATTCACATTAAATGGTATACACAACAATAAGGTTCCTGCTGATAAATGTTGTACATAAAAAAGCAGTTCCCCAAATAACATTCTGAAAAACAAAGTAACAGTCTGATTACACTTCATCTGTATTATGTTAGAATAAAGATCATACATTTCTTTCTTCAGTTGTTAAAATATAAGCATTAACTCTAATGTATGAAAGTAACCTCACTTTTTAAATATATCACATGTCCACAAATTTTAAAAAATAACTCTTGATCCATAGGACAATAATATGTACCAGTTTAAAAGTTGAGATACTCAAAAATAGCCAATTTTTGTTATTTCTAACAAAAGGTACCAAATATAAGACTGTAATGCTATTATTAATTGTTGAATTGATCACAAACGGATATCAGACAAATGTGAACAATACATTACGCACTTTAATGAAGTAGGAAAGAGTAAAAACTATACTTCTACATCCAACACAGTGTTTTAAAACGAAACTCAGATCAGGAATTAATCCAGTTTTTCTCATACTACCTTCCCCACACCTTGAATAATATTTAAACTTAAAAATTATGTTCGCTTATAGAAAAATCCAAATAAGTCTAAACTACTATTCACTTGTTTATGAGATGACATATTAAGGAAATGTTTCCCACAATACATCATTCATAGCAAATGGTCTTACAAAATCATTCAAAAATCTGGTAGACAGAAATTTTTCATTATCAAAACATTATTAAACTGTCCATTTTAAAATTAACAAATGAACAATTGCTTTTAAAAGATTCCTTTGTCTGTACTTGTAAATTAATAAAAACATACAGAAGTAAGTCATTTCTTACTACAGAAATAGAAAATACACTTTATGAATGACACCAAAAGTTTAATTGACAATTACCTATTTTTTACACACACATTGTTGGACTTTCTTGCAACACTTTCAGGTAAATTACCGGTACTAAAGAATGTTTAGCTGTTATGTATCTTACCATGAAACTGTAAATACAGCAGTTTATTTTAGCAAAATAGTGAATAAAAAATACCTGAAAGTGTTGCAAGAAAGTCCAACAATGTTACCTGAAAGTGTTGCAAGAAAGTCCAACAATGATTTTACAGTTTCATGGTAAGATACATAACAGCTAAACATTCTTTAGTACCGGTAATATTTTACAGTTTCATGGTAAGATACATAACAGCTAAACATTCTTTAGTACCGTTAATATTTTAGAGAAGATGGAGTCTATATGGTTAAATTTCAAAGACTGTCAAAATCTTTGATAACTCTACTTTCTGGAAAGACAGACAGGATAATATTTTTCATAACAGACTGTAACAAAATAATTTTAATATAACTTTAAAAATTAATCTTACCCTGCTACATCATAAGTAAATTATCTAGATATCTAATCTACAATAAAACTATCCATTCAATTGAAACAGTATTTTCATTTATTTTTTCTGCACCATTTTCATTACACATCAGGGGTTCCATCCAGATTCTTGAATTAGCTTTCAATTACTTTATATAAGAAGTTAGTAGCAAGAGTTCAATCTAAATCCTGCAATATCTGAAATAATTGTAAAATTAGTTGTGAATATATTTATACAGCAATAAATCGTGAACTTTTTATTAGAAATAAAAAAAAACTCCTATCAAAGCCAACAATTTCTATAACCTTTGAAATGATTTCTTGTGTACATTTTAATTGTGTGAAATGACAAATGAGCTTATTTTGTCACCAAAATGAACATCTACTTCATTTGATTAGTTAAATTAACTTGACCTATAGAGGAAATGGGTAGAACCAAATCAATACATTATATATTATCCACTATTTGGCTAAAAAGATGTCTATTCACAAGTATACAATTGTCTGCATGATTTTGATTTTCTTATGAAATATTTAATTTTTAAAAATTATTTAAACTGTATGTTCTGATGTTTGTTTGGTTATGGCAAAGCTACTAAGACTATCTGCCATTGTCCCTGATTTTGAACTGTCAATCAATGGGAAGGCAATCAGCTGGCAGCATCCAGTGACAATTCTTTGGCTACTCCTAACCTGCATAACGGTAGGATTGACTATCACGATATCATACCCTCATGGCTGAAAGGGTGAGAATGTTTGAAGCCAGGTTTTAATCTCATGACCGCAGATTACAAGTCAAACACCCTAAACACGATGCTAGTATGCTTTAATGGCAACTTTTTTTGAAAAAGAAAAAAAAAATTGTGTAATGAACAATCTCAGAATTTGTATATAGCACAAGTTTTGTCCAGATTTTAATATTGGTGCTACTTGTTTTGCTAACTATACACATAATAATGGTTGGAGACGGCTTGAATGGGTAATGAAGAAAAACTTTAACATAAGTTTAACATAATAGCAAATGTACAACGTTTCGACAAGGTTTTGTCATCATCAGGTACAAGTAGTTTACACTGACACGGATATATATATACAATATTGAACAAAGAAGTCACATGACCGGAACTGTTGTGAAACTTAGAAGAGGTATCTAGGCACCCCGGGGTGTTGGTTTAGAGTAGGGTTGTTTTGTTCAATTAAGATAGATTCCTTGATTTTTCGTTTGTTTATGTTGGGTTCTTTGTTTAATCTTAAACAGGACA